TTTACTTTTGATTGAAAACGCAACTTCCTGAAAATCGTCTACGTGATTTCCATTTTTGTATTTTCTGTGGAAAAATGTTTAATAGACGTAAATACATGAAACACTCTTTGGAAGCAAAACCCGAAGAAACATACAAATTTAAAAGTGTTCACAATTTTAAATTTTTAGATGACAATTTCGACAAATTTAATTTGATTGCGCTCAATAGTCAGCTTGTCGAAGAAGAAAAAAATAAGTCAAGTGGTTTGACTGATAATGAAATAGACCTCTCGCCAAATATTTATAGAGGTGCCGATTTATTGAAAGTGAGGAATGAACTTGAGTCACAATTGAGACAAACAAGTTACACTACATTTGAAGACGTCAAGAAATATTTATTGAAAGGATTGGAAGAAACTGTTCGTGTTCTTCCACTCATCGATTATCAAAATTTCCAAATGAATATTTCTGTTTTACACAGCGAGTCAACACAAGAAGCACTCGACAATATCAGTAAAAGTTTTGATGTTCCTATTATTAATTGTGAAGATGTTGTTTCAATAAATTCAACTGGTATTGTGGACTCTGGAACTTTATCGAAAACGACTGCTATTACAAATTTTATTCCAACTCCTCGAACAATTCAAAATGAAAATTCAATTAATGTTGATTATAGCCAGGCTACCGAGAACGAATCTCAGAATACCAACGATTCGACCAAAGAAGAAATAAAATTCACTGTGTTTAAGATCGAACAATTGGAAAAAATGAAACACATTAAAGAGCTCCTCAAACCAGAGAATAAATACTCCGCCGAGTACATCGCACAAGAAACAAACAAAGAAGTTCAAAGAAGACTTGGTAAAAATGTTGACAGTTATTCAACAACAAATGATGCTGGAAATAAAAGAGGCAGCTTTATAACGATGATGGCTGCATTGATGATGGGAGCGTGTGGGTTGACAAATAATCAAATTGATGCCATGTCAAAATTGATATCCATAATTTTGCTCATGTCCAATGTTCCTAAAAAAGTCGTTAACACCGCTCTCAGTTCTTCAACTATGCAACGGAGATTTGAGTTGATTTCGAAAAAATCCAGATATGACCTACAACTCATCTTTAAGCAGTGTGACTATTATACACCAGTGGCGGATTAAGCAATGTATAGTGGGGTTGAATACTTTTCGCTCTTTGTAAGATTTGTGTTTTCAGATGGATCATTTGTTGAAAAGAGAATCAAAATTGAAAACTATGACGGCAAAACAGATGCTGCGGGGTGGCTAAGTTGGATAATGAAAATATTGGAATTGATGGATGCTGACCTCATTAAATGCATTGGTGCTTGTTTTGATGGAGCTTATGTTCCGATACGAAATGGTGGACTCTCTGGAAAACTTCTGGCTAAAATTAAAGAGAGAGACGGGCTGAACGGATTTGATTCAAACTACTGCTTTTCACACAGAACAAATAAAGTGACTGAAAAGTGTTTTGGATCACAATGGGGGCTGGCTATTGAAAGTTTCTTGGACGGGTTAACAGTTCAGACAACAAGAACAGCATGGGATCAATTCTGTGCCAAAAATCATATCAAAGGTGCAGTTCTCAAATTGGTTCAACGATCCGAAACAAGGTGGCTCCAAACAGTATTAATTCTTGATAATATGTTTGAAAATCTGCCTTCACTTCAAGAATTTTACAGTGAAAGAGAACAATACCAAAAGCCTTTTGGACCTCGCAACATTGTGGGTGAGTGTAATGTCAACTGCAAATTGTTTGTTGCGTGTATGTTCTTCACTCAAATAGTGCTCAGTAAGTTGAAGATTATTAACGATTGGCTACAGACCGCCAATTTACTATACCCCGTGGCCTATCAACGTGTTGAAGATTTAATTTCAAATATCTTCGAGCTCAGACGAAAAGTAGTGTTAACCGATTATTTAGAAAAAATGAAATACACTGAAGATCTTGACGACAACGAAAAATTCATATTGAAAAAGTATTCAATTCACCTGCTCCTTAAGTTGAGTGACGCGATGATTTTGAGGTTTGCAATTCCTTCAAGAAAAATGACCAAAGAAGACCTCTTCGATGCTGGATTGTTGAAGGAGAACCAGGTCAAAGGAACGAATATGGCAAATTTCGGGAAATTACAAAGAAAACTCAAAGGAAAAGAATTGGTAATAAACATCAAAATTTACAACAACTTTGATGCAAAATCATTCGAGGAAAGTGATGACCAAGAATTGAAAGCAGAATTTACAAAGTTTCAAGATTGGTACTGTGCCAACATTGAAAAAGTCGAAGAAATTGCAAACGGGTTGGAAGGGGAAGAAAGGGCTGATGCTACTGAGGCAATACGTACTCTTGTTAAACAAGTGAGATTAACAAGTACGGATCAAACAGAAGCAACAGATATCGCTGAAGATTGCAGCAGTAGTGAAATTGTTAAAGAAAAGAGAGCAAACGCCATTCAACACAGAAAGCACATAAGGGCTTTATTCAAAAAAGAAGCAGAAGATTTCTTAAAAAGTTGCCCAGCCAAAAAACTAACTTTGAACACCTTGTTTGCTTCGATGACTCAAGAAGAAAAGAATCAATTCCCATGTTTATTCAATCTTGTGAAAAAAAAATGAATGCTAAGAGTCCAACCACTTGCCCAGTTGAAAGATCTTTTAATAAAATTGGACAACTTGATAGAGCAAACATGAGCGTTGAAAAGAAAGTTGCTTACATGGATGTTGGGGATGCTCTGAAAAACTAATTACCATTTTTTAATTCGATTTGTTTAAATGAATATTTTTATATATAAAACAGTCAAAAAAGCTCAAATATTTCGGGTTGGTTTTTTATTGATAAAACAGTCTTAAAAACCGTAATATTTCGGGAAGGGGGTTTACTATATTAAAATTCATTTTCAACAATATCAAATAAAAGTATAAAACGACCCACCCATCACCGTGAACGGGCAGGAAGGAGGGCTATTGGAATGATTAAGGAATCAACCGACATCTTTTTTCTAAACCTCACCCTCTAATTTAAATAAAATTATACTTTAAATTAATAAATATATACATATTTTAATATTATGGGTAATTAATTATACAATAATTATTGTTAATTATATAATATACTAAATAATTATAATTTAATTTTCAAGATCTAATTTATAATAAATTTAATTATATTATGAAAACTATAATTTAAAATCAAACGTATTTATCAAATCAAGCAGGTTTACTTTTTGAGAAAAATATGTCTTACAATGATAACCCATTTAAAAGAGATTTATGTCAAGTCGTTTGAAACTGAAGGAGACTTGTTACTGATAGTCTCAACTAAGATCTATGATCAATAACCGAACAGAGAAGAAGTTTGCGGCTGCTATATTCAAGTTCTTGTTGTAGGTGGAGAAGAAATTTGGGAAGAAAGTGTCTGTCAAAAATTGTTAGACAGATTTTATGTACTTTTGTAATAGTATACCATCACCTCTTGTTAGTCATCCACGCAACTCATTTGGTTGTGATTGTTGGTGTTAAAGGTGAAGTAGGGAAAACAAATGCAGAGTGTTTGATAGCATTGAATGATGCATTAGTGACTATTGGAGAGATAAAGATACTATAGTTAAAAGGCATGCGAAATCCATTTTTATGAAATTGCAAATGATCAGGGCAACAGAACAAGTCATCATGTGTTGCCTTCACAGATAGCGAGAGGCTGATTGGCGATGCAGCAAAGAACCAGATTGCTATGAATGTGAAGAATACAGTCTTTGATGCAAAGAGACTGATTGGAAGACGCTTCAGTGATCCAGCAATTCAAGAGGATATGAAGCACTGGTCGTTCACTGTCGTCAACGATGGCAATGACAAGCCATTGATTCAGGTTGAGTACAAGGGAGAGACTAAGAAGTTCACACCAGAGGAGATCAGTTCGATGGTGTTGACGAAGATGAAGGAGACAGCAGAGGTGTTTGTTGGTGGGAAAGTCAACAACGCAGTCATCACATGTTCAGCCTATTTTAACGATTCACAGCAACAGGCAACAAAGGAAGCAGACACAATTGCATGCATCAATGTGCTCAGAATCATCAATGAGCCAACAGCAGCCGCAATAGCATATGGACTTGACAAGAAGACGGAGAGAGAAAAGAACGTCTTGATCTTTGATCTTGGTGGTGGAACATTTGATGTCTCACTTCTTGCTATTGATGATGGCGTCTTTGAAGTGAAGGCAACAAACGGCAACACACACCTTGATGGCGAAGGCTTTGATGACAAAATGGTCAACCACTTCATTGCCAAATTCAAGAGAAAGTACAAGAAAGACATTTCAGGCAATGCACGAGCAGTCAGAAGACTCAGAACATCGTGTGAAAGGGCAAAGCGAACACTGTCATCGGCAGCAACAGCAAACATCGAAGTCGACCAGTTGTATGAAGGCATCGACTTCTACACATCAATCACAAGAGCACGTGGAGTCCCATAGTTGAAGTCACATTTGACATTGATACAAATGGGATTCTGAATGTCTCAACTGAAGACAAGACAACGGGAAAGAAGGACAAGATCACAATCACTAACGACAAGGAAAGACTCTCAAAGGTACCAATCAACAAGATGGTTATAGACGCAGAGAAGTTTAAGGCAGAGGACGACAAGATGAAGGAGCTTGTCGAGGCGAAGAATGGACTTGAGAACTTCTGCTACTCGATGAAAAACACACTCAACGAGCAAATTGCAACAAAGCTCTCACCAGATGACAAGGCGGCAATTGAAGCAATTATCAAGGAGACACTCGACTGGCTCGACAAGAACCAATCGGCATCAAATAATGAATACACACAGAAACAGAAGGAAGCTGAGGCGAAGATCAAGCCAATCTTCATACAGATATCGACAGAATAAAACTGGTAACATGTCTGGTGCACAACAATGGGGTGCAAAGAAGAGTGACACAAAGGGATCAAAGATAGAAGAGGTCGACTAATGTGATTCACTTATCTTTGCAAAGTTATTCGAAGTGACCCAAAAAACTAATTTAAATTTGAATTGGTTTTTTAACTATTAATTTGTAACAAAAGTACTTGTTGTTTTGTGTTTATCCATGATGAAATGTATTTTTGGAAATAATTATAATTTTTGATAGTAAATTAATAATAAAAATATAACTCGTTATATAGTTTTAAAAACACCATAGACACAACAAAAAGGATAATTTTATACACAGGAAAACATCCTTAATAGTGGGAGGACGTCCCCATCTCACAAATTACCTATTTCCCCTATATTCCCATCCTTCTTCCCCGTGTCCATTTTTTTCTTTATTTGAATAAAATATATTATATTATTATGTATAATATACATAATAAAATATTATTATGTATTATAATGGGTTATAATATAATATGTAATATATATCTAGTAATTTGATAAAAACATGAATTTATTTTTAGTTCAGAAATGCGTTTTTTGTTGTATATTAATGATAAAAAACATATTTGGGTCATGATATTTATTTTGGAAATAGTTCCACAGTTATATAGTCGATAAATTGGTAAAAAATATTTTTGTAATAACAAGATAAAAATAATTCTCTTTTACCACAAATGAACAAATAGCACGGAAAATATATATATTTTACTTAAAAAGATATAACCTTTTACCAGTTTATTAAGATGAAAAGATGCTTAAAAAAGATTAATTTGAAAAATGATGTTGTTTTTAGTTAAATAGGAAGACAAAAGGATGGTTTTATTATAATTTATTTTAATTGATTATTAATTAAATTTTTGATGCTTTATTTGACTAAATATAAATTTCAAATCCCAAAACGGGTTCGTTTTCATTGTCAATCGATAATTCTTTTTGCACAATTGTATTTAATTTGAACATAAAAATACCAACAAACGGGCTTTTTAAAGTATTTTTAATTTGTGATGGCATTTGATAAAATTAAGTTATCCCTCTTAAATAGAGTGTTTTTCATAAAATAATAACACCGTTTTGTTGTGGATTATAAAATATTTTTATTGATAAAACAGTAATGTTTTACTTAATTTTTGAAGAGAAAATGAATTAATAACAATAGTTACATTACCATAATAAATAGTTTGTAGAATTAAGACTAAAATAAAATTTGTATATTAAAAACTAAGTTT